TTTCTAAGTATTCCCCTTACGTTCCACTGTATGATTTTGTCCATAGCGGAAAAAAAAGGGAAAAAGTGCTGTGTGCAAAGAAGACGGGGATTAACTCATTTTACAGGGCCTTTGTCAGGCCCTGTAATCGGCGTTCTGTCCTTTTTGGGGCGGTCGAGCGAAGCTCGCCGCTCCTTCGGCGCTTCCTGCGCCGTTTGGCTTGAACTGGTGTCCATAGCCTCTTGCGAGGCGCTGGACACCCGCTCTAAAGAGCGATCTGTGCGTCGCTTAGACTTCGCCTCGATCGACGAAGTCTTTGTCCCCACCGAGCTGGGGGTTGATGGAGGCCCCTTGGCCTCGTGATTGCCCTGGCTGCTGCCAGAGCTTGTAGAGGTCACTGGTGTGGACAGGCTGAATGTGGGCAGGGCAGCGCTGGCTGCTCCCGCCGCAGGGGCGTGTGGCATTGGCCTCGGCACGCTAGGCGTGGTTTGGGCAACTGCCAAGGGCCTTTGCGGTGCCGCCCCTCGTTGCACCACTTCGGCAAAAGGTGTTTTTAGTGCTAATGATAACGAGACTCGTTGTCTTGCTTCCCTGAATGTGATATTTTCCTTAACTTTTATAGTTATTATTTCTTTTTCTCTTTTCCAGGCTGGGCACGCTCTGGAGTATGCGGGGTGGCTACCTTCGCAGTTTGCACAGAGGATCTCGTCATGACTACATTCATCAGCACTGTGGCCGGTTGTGCCACACTTAGCACACATCAGCTGCCCTCGGCAGCTCTGGGATGAATGACCAAATCGCTGGCATTTAAAACAACGCCTCGAGTTTGGAATGAAGGGTCGGACATGGAGTTTTACATAGCCAGTTTCGAGAGTCTCAGGTAAAGTGGTTGAATTGAAGGTGAGTATCAAGTGCTTTGCTGCTATTTCATTGTTGTTACGTCTGATTTTGATGCGCTGGACATGTATCACACCTTGGTTCTTCCATCCATCAAGAAGCTCTTCTTCACTCAGTGTCATCAAATCTTCGTCCGATACCACGCCGTTCACTGTATTCATGGTACGATGTGCGCTTACAGAGACGGGGATGTTACCAAAAGCTACAAGGTGCGAGAGTTTATTGTACTGTTCTTTGTTTTTTAATTCGAGAAGCAGATCACCACTTGCCATCTTCGTGGCCTTATAACCGGTTCCAATGGTCTCTCTCAAACACTTGGCTACAAGGAAGGGTGAGATTGCTCTAGCTTTTGTAGATGATTGTTCGACGTGAAGGACATGGTATTTTGGGGAAAGTTTCTCTGTTTTTAGGCCAAAGTAGTAAAGTTGCGTCGGTGCGTACCCTTTTCGAGGCACGATCAGTTAGAAAGGGGGTCGAGGATCCCATGGGAAAATGTGGATTTTTCGGTAACAGCGCCTACCACCTACCACGGAGTCCAACAAAGCTACGTGACAGAGCATGTGGGCATGTCTGCGCAACGCCAGAAGTACGCAGTTACTATAACCCAATATGGTTTACCCTAGTTTGGATAGCCACACAAGGTTAACCCTTGCTGCCAGGAAAAATTGGAAGTAAAATGAAGTGAGGAGAAGACAGGAAAGATGTAAAGTGAGAACAAAAGAAGAAGATATAGGGAGAGAGAGATAGGAAAAGGCGACTGCCGATTTCCCCTGGGTGGGTCAGCCCAGAGGTGCCGTCTACGTGAAGCCGGGGCCAAAGGGGTGTGTTGCCTCTGCCGGGGGGACTTAAAGGTCCATTCACCCAGCGTCGGCTCAACCCCCAGGATCCCCTTTTCTCCGGACACGGCAAAGCCACGCACGGCTAGGCGTGGGAGGGAGTAGAACTCCCTCGTTAGCTCAGGTCCGTGGTGTCGCTACACACCAAACGCCTACTTGCGCAGGCGCCCCTGCGGGACATGTCTTCCCGAGGCACAAGCAGCAGACGACGATCTCCTGGAGCGAGCACCAAGCCAATGCCGAGGCGAGCTGAGGCAACATGGCGGCCACAGCCAATCAGGGGCCTCCAAAGGACCTTCAAACATTTGCTTTTTGTGCGCTTGTTTTTAAAAGAAGGAGCCAGCCGAGGCAGGAAATTTAGATCAGAGAAATGCTTTTTCCGATGAGCCAGCTCCCGGCCCCCCCCATTGCGAAGCTTTTTTTTTTTTTTGAAAATCGCTGTTTTCTCGCGATTTCCAGAAAAAGTTTCACTACCTATGAGGGTAAAACGAATTTTTCAAAGCACATCTGCGCAGTTTTTAATGTAGATATTTTGGAATCAGATAGAAAAAGGGTTCCAGAAATTGAAAACTAGATTTAAAAAAAAATTGACTTTTTTTGCCATTTTTTGCGATACCAAAGCCTCGTCGCACCTTGAAACTCCATTGAAGCTAAAAGAACACGTACGTGCTATGCAAGTGACAGATCTTTTTTAATCAGCTGGGGAAATGTACAGTCGATCCTGGGATATATCAAACTGGAAGGGGATTGCAAAACAGTTCGATATATTAATACGTAGACAGGCAAAATTAGCATATTTAAGACATATTAATGCATTACAGGTCTCAAACCAGTTTTAGGATATAATATAACAAGGGCTAGCGTGCCTATTCCCACAATATGCTAAGGAACAAGGTGAAAACTTCTTTTGCAAGTTACCGCATTTACTTTAGATCGAGATAGTCCACATGCTTGCCTTGCTTCTGTGCGCCATCAAGCTCATCAAGGTATTCTCAACATCCCTGAAGGTTTTTAAATAAGCACATTCAGCAACCTCCATTACACCACAATAACGGTGAACGACGCTGAATGCTCCTGCAAGCTCTAGAGCACAGAAAAAATGGCTGCACTGGCCTCTTCCTCCCTGCTCAGATCCACTTTTGCGGCATGGGCCATGATCTCGGCACCACTGTAGTCAAACAGCTACATCGTCATTTGCACAGATGAAGTCGCTTGCTCTCCCCCAACCCAAGACAGCGCCCGGAAATGTTAGAAAGCTAGAAAATTCACAGTTACCACACACTGTTGTCTGCACTCGACTCATGACAAACGAAAATTGTCACATGGCGTCAAAGCCAGTAACAAAACAATTCATAGCAGTGCTATGCCTCACGCCACTCCGTGAGTCATTGTTTTCATTGCTACAAGCGGGTCAATATTGAGCTCAACTTCTGACTGACGATTTATCAGAAACCTAGCAAGAAGTATGAAAGTCCACAGTGCCACAAGAGAGAATGCAGCACGCAAACAACCAAGAAGCAAGTACACACTGTTAACATCTTCGCGATGGCACTTGTGGCTTAGCAGCAGGAAGCCACTGCTTTGAAACAGAAAGCAGGAAGAAGCACAGCCTATGAGACCTGTGCTCGTTAACCGAAAACATTTACATCACTAGGTTGTGGATCTCGAAGGCCACGATTTAAGCACCCACTTGCCATTGAGCACGAACAAACAATGAAGGAATCGTGAACAATGTGACAAAATCCCTTAATATTCCTTGCGTTTTGGTGCTCTTAGCCATTGGCCTATTTGAAAAACATCATGGCTGCACTTTACAACCTACAGATCATGCATGTGCACTCCCAAGTGCTGCACAACCATCCAAAGCAACGCAGTGTAAGCACACTGCCTTTTCACCACCTGCTCGCAAAAGAGGGATCGAAACTTGTTAGAACCCGGCTAAAAGGCGACCAAAATTTGTTAGAAATAATGCATTTTCAGGGCTTCAGCATAGTGCCGTGTTTCCAATGCATTTCATGTTTAGCTGCGCAAGTGTTTTATATTCTATGTATGTGTGCACCAGACCCACACTTTTGTGCACTCCCAAGTGCTGCACAACCATCCAAAGCAACGCAGTGTAAGGACACTGCCTTTTCACCACCTGCTCGCAAAAGAGGAATCGAAACTTGTTAGAACCCGGCTAAAAGGCGACCAAAATTTGTTAGGGATAATGCATTTTTAGGACTTCAGCATAGTGCCGTGTTTCCAATGCATTTCATGTTTAGCTGCGCAAGTGTTTTATATTCTGTGTATGTGTGCACCAGACCCACACTTTTGCACAGGATTTCAAGGGTATTTCTGAGCTGTTGTATAGAGCCAATAATTGAATAAATCCGAAATTGATATATCTAAAATTGGCTATACATACTAAAAGAAGATGAGGATAATCATGTGAGGAAATTAAAGAAATATATTCATGAACCTGTCGCACCGTTTGACTGTGTTCTAAAGGTCACAGTTTTGCCACGAAGGCAAAGCAATGAATGCGATAGCAAGAAATTGAAAATTGCACAAACAATAGCAAGCACTTCGATACTTGCAGCGTGCCACTGAATCCCAAAGAAGGAAGCTTGAAAAAAATGTACAGGTAAACACAGGACAAGCATGAATTAACGAATCTCACAGTTGTTACACCTTTGTGTTTGAGCAGCAAACTGCAAGTGCCAACAATGCAGAACTTGATGCACTTAGACACTCCTTTTTCTGTTAAATTGTGGCACATGTAGTGACTTGTACTGACATGCGGTTTTATCTGAAGCAAAGAGTGCCTGGCTTTTTTTTTTTTTTTTTCATTTAATATCATGCGTGGGGACAAAAAGGGACACTTTTTCATGCGCGTCTTATAGGCAGTTTTCAAACTGATGAAAAATGTAGCAGGTCTGCATGACAAAGAACACACTCAAGCTCCCTTGAAATCTGCATACCAGCAGCAGTAAATGGTGTTTATAAATAGCTCGCTGTTACTATGCTGGCAGATGCGTGGCACGTGGTAGAGTTGCCCAACGTAGCGTGCTGCAGAGCAAGGAGCCATCAGGTCGAATCCCTCATCGGGTGATTCGCAACTTTTTTTTTTCAATTTATTTTTTGTTGTGCAGTTTTTTAAATATACACAACATATCCAGAACATGATGGCAATGGCAAAAATCCACCAATGGTATTCACATAATTGCTACTGCAATAAAAACATCACATGGTACAGCAGTAAAAGCCTGTGCAGAGAGAAAAGCAACACACAAAAAAGATACCGACTTTTCACAAGGGCCTCATGACGCATCTTCCTCTTCTCCTTCTTCGTAACTGTACTGGCAGCAGAGCTGGCTAGGCCTAATCTGTGCCCCAGCTGATCAGCACTTGTACCCACCTGCACATTTGGCAGGCCACCGGCAATCTGCGAAGCATTCAGACATGATGTGGCATTCAAACGAAAGACTGCAATGGGTTTTCCAGGCGGTGACTCTGCTCAAAAGAATCGCCAAAAGAAAAGGGAAGGCACCAGTGTCAGCGTAAGCAATTTTGTAAAAAAAAAAAAACCTGCTTTGACCTCTTTTTGGCCTTCTGTTTCTAGTGCACGGTAAAAGATATATCACTCAGCTTCCTTGAAAACTTGATTCTCGACTAACATTGGATACACTTAATCTTTGCCTTTGAAAGTTGAACACAACAGCAATGTAAAGCCGTGTTTCCATCACGCTCTCTATTGCTTGCGATGCGCTTGATTGATTGATTGATTCGTGGGGTTTCATGTCCCAAAATCACCATATGATTATGAGAGACGCCGTAGTGGAGGGCTCCGGAAATTTTGACCACCTGGGGTTCTTTAACGTGCACCCAAATCTGAGTACACGGGCCTACAACATTTCGGCCTCCATCGGAAATGCAGCCGCCACAGCCGGGATTCGAACCCGCGACCTGCGGGTCAGCAGCCGAGTACCTTAGCCACTAGACCACCATGGCGGGGCTGCGATGCGCTCGAGTCACACGACAACACTCCTTGGCATTGTGCTAAGTAGTGATGCACCCATGATTGTCGGTGAGGGAATGTGTGCACCTATGGCTTAGTTGGCATGATTTACAGAGTTGACAACTAAAGGTATGTGAGCCCATTGTAGTAGGAGGCCATCTCCAAAACTATGCCTTCATTGCACACTTCACATGATGCAACACTCGATGGCAATGTACACTTCTGCCATGCATTTGCTACATTGACTTCGAGCTCGACATGACGCCAGTGTTGCCGAAGAGTGCATCAGTCTTGTTCTGAAGCATTTTGAGGCACTGCGACCGCTCTGCGACAGACCACCTCTGTGCCACACTACCAGGGCCGGCTTCAATTATTGGGCACAAGTGCACACAATGCACGTATAAATACAGGAAAGCTGTGTCAGGCCTCATCATCTCATTAAAACAGCCTGTTATTTTCAAAAATCATTAAAAAGCTCGAAGTAAAAAGTGTCAAGCATAGTTACAGGGACTCCTGCAAAAGCAGAACGACGCAACTTTCACAAATTGTGAGAAGGGCTAACGGCATCGCTGTCAATTGACCATTTGCAAAAATCTGCAAGGTGGCTTTCCTGCAAGGTTGTTTCCCAACCAAGAACTCTCGTGCGCAGACTGCTTTTTTCCACTTAGTGTGTTTTTGCTATACCTATTTCAGTGAAGGCCCTTGAGTACAATAAAACTACTTTTTCCCCAAACCATTACTACGGGGTTATCCCGCCTCATAAGAAGCCTCAGATGGCAAGGTGGGTAAGGCAACGCAACTGTTGTTTGTAAAGGAGGGGTGGGGTGAGAAAAAAAGCAGTCTGTGAACGAGAGCTCTTGGTTGGGAACATCATTTCAGGAAAACCGCCTTGGAGATTTTTGCAACTGGTCAATTCTCAGAGTTGCTGGAGAAAAAAGTAAGTCCTTGTTTAGAGCCTTTAAGATTGAAAAATAGTGCTAGTAAAATAACTAAGTGTTTTTGGGATTAAGTACTGTAGCTACAAATTGTATGAAGGGTGAGGTTTTTGATGCGCCATAAAAAACTGGGTCAAAAAAAATCTGTTGTCTTAAGGGTGAAGCTTGAAGCAGTGAAGTCTACAGAGCACAGGGTGTTGCTAGAGCCAATGCTATGACAAGCAGTCTAGTCTTGTGGAAAGCCTTGAAGAAGACAAGAGTGCTAGTCCAAATGCTGCCTCCAGTGACACCTTGCATCGAAATGATTTTTCATCCCTTGCTTGTTTTATATACAATGGCACACATTTAGCCCAACTGTCCAAACCACCTCCAAGTATGTGTGTCATCTTCACCTCAACAAAAGTCGTGGACTGCCACTACTAATGCTTGTCTATGTGTATGCACCTTTGTATTTACATGCAATCACGCATGCCTTTATTTATGCATTTAATGATATTGAGAAACTAGCATAGCTTGCACTGCAGGTGCAATGCTAAAGAGACAGCCAAGCTGATGGGCGCCTATGTACTTCTGGCTTTTGCTGTTTTCCAGAGTTTTGCTTTCTCTTTTCTCATACTTCGCCTATTTCTTTTCTTTTTCTGTCCTCTCTTTTCTGCTTATTCCTATTTATTTCTCTATATTTTTTGCTTGCCTCTTCCTTCTATCCTTTTCTCTCTCTCTTTTTGTCTTTTACTCAATTTCTTTGTATTATTTATTCCCCCTTTTTTTCGTCTTTTTCATGATTTGCTCTCTCCCCTCCTTCAGCTCATCACATCTCTCCTCCTCACACATTTCCCTTTCCCACCCCTTGCTATACTACGTATACTCTACAAGGCTATTAGATAGCATGCCTGAACAGCTCTGTTGTCAGGACGCTCACTTTTGGACCAAGGGTACGCGAGTTCGAATGCTGCCTTGTGAAGGTCTATTTTAAATGCGAAGCACTTCTTAGCGAACTTCGGCAACTTTGAGTGTATCTATCTACCTAGCCGCTTACGTTTGGGTGCTCTCGTGGTCACCCACTTAACTTGGCGTAAACTAAAATTAGCATGGATGGTAAGATTCCCGTCGTGTATGTGTACGTCGTCAAACACTTGCCGCCACACAGTGGCACATACCCACGGGCGGGTATAAGCCACAGGTGATTGACACTTAGTATCTAACCAGGAAAGAAGAGAACACACATGGGCAATTTTAACACGCGAGCGTTAAGAAATACCTGACACCAGTAGCGTCGACCCGACGAATGAAAAGAATAAATGGCAGGGTCCCAGCTTGAATTAAACCCAAGCATTCTGCATGGCCGTCAAGCATTCTACCACAAAGCTACACCAGGTCTCGGAACTGCTTTTCAAATACAGGCTAATCTTCGTGAAACGTCAATAGTGGTTGCAGTGCTGCCTACCCAACTTTATAAACATTACATATGTACTCCTTTCAAACAGTCTTCAAGTCGGGTTAATGTCAATTGTGGTGAGGTGCCATGCGCTGAAATCGATTCAAGTACCAGTATCAAGGGCCAGCATCTTCGCGAGCATCACCGCTTCATATCAGCTTCTGGTGTTGCTAATACGAATGTTCCAGTTGACATCGTTGCTGAAGTGCAAACAACTACTTATATAAACATCTGCCATTCTTCAGCATATGTCTCTGCGTGCAACATTTGTACATATATTTAGCGTTATTTCATGACGTGTCGCTCAATAAAAAAAATGCAACATGGCCACCTTTTCTCCGCTTGCATCGCGTAACGTCGGTTCCAGGTACGTGGGATCTGCCAAATTTTTTTCACAACAAACTTCCCTTTCTCTATATCCCTTTCTTTCGCTTTCTTCCTCAGTGTGCTAGTTTCCTCACCCATTGCAATTATTACAGGTCAGACCGGAGAAAGCAGCACACGCGTTCTGGGAGCGAAGCTGACCGAAGATGAAGAAGAGAGCGCATGTTCATTCACGATGATCATCACTGCTGTTTCCGTCAAATTATGGCGAGCTTAAACAGCTCTGCAGTTAATGATAACTGCAAGAGTTTTACATTCCAAAACCATGATATGGTTATGAGGGATGCCACAGAGTGGGGCTCTGACAATTTAGACCACCGGGGAATCTTTCACGCACCCCTAAATATAAGTATGCAGGCCTCAAGCATTTTGTCTACAATCAAGTGTAGCTGCCGTGGCTGGGATTTGATCTCTTGACCAAGCACCATGACCACTAATCAGCCAAACACTTTGCACTATCACTGGACCTTTGCAGCGGGTCGAGACATAATGAAACAAAATAATTTGTTTGTTTTTTTCCGAACCCGAGGTTTGAGCATGGATCCCCCCAGTCCAAAAGCGTCTTGACGGCTCGACCACATGCCCTAATCACGCATCTATGTCAATTCCCGCTTATTTGCTCATACTTATAGATTACCAGCATAGCCTGACCACCATTCTGATGAACATACCAAGGGCATTGGATATAACTGTATCTTCGCTTTGTTGCGAACATTGCTCTCGGTAGGCTTCACCTTGACTTTCCCCATCTGCATAGAAAAATGAAAGTAAATGTTGATCAATCAATTTTACTCCAAATGAAATTTATGGCCTCTAATGCTGCTTTTGCACAGCTAATAGGAGAGTTATCACCGTGCAGGTTGTATACATCCACTTATCAAAATGTGCAGTAAGATATCGGTGTACTGACAAAAAAAAAAGCATTGAACAGATGAAGGGTCTAGACGTACTGCATGAAACGCATAAGTGACCAGGAGCAGAATAATTCCACAATTGATTCCAGGACAAGGCATGCAATGTGAAGGACCTTGAATTAATCCTTTCAGGAATGACCTATGCGAAATTGTCACCCTACCTCCAATTAACATGTTCATTTAAGGCAATATATGTTTTTTTCTTTCAACAAGAATTATCTCATAAAAAGGCTATATCTTGATTTATGCATCTTATAGCAAATAATCGTAATTTAAGTGTAGTTACACATCAACTTATCCTGCACTTGAGGTCATTCATGTTCTCTTTCTGCATAAAAAGAATCAAATGACACATGACACAGTGTTTCAGTCTTTTTAACACTTAGGAGTACCTCTGAACTGAAACAACTTCAGGACATGAATTTTTTAGAGATTTAGTTATATGTACTTTGATGTGTTTACTAAGAAATACTTTGGCTAGGCACTTACGACGCTGAGAAAAGGAAGTGTGGGGCGCGCATGCTTGCTTTTGCTGAAAAATGCGCAATACGGAGAGTCCGCAGGAATGTATGGCGAGTGACAGTAAATAGGTAAACTGTCAAAATTGTTAACTGCCGAATAATCTCAACATATTCTTCAACTCCTCGGCATCATCATATCCCATCAAATCATTATGACATACCACTTCCCATTCATATCCATGTTCAAAAATTCTCAACTTGTTTTTCAGCCCACTCCCTCAAGTGTCCTCCAGCTGGCAACAAAAGTGTTGCACAGGCCACCAGCAGCGCTGGCTAACACTCCTAGGTTTGCATGCACACAATCACAGTACAAACTACTTTGTAACATAACAATAACAAAAATGCCAATAGAATATTTTGGTCCTAAAAGAAATGTTACCGGCTGTATAAGAACTGCATTTTACATGTCTTCTTTGAATTCTATTGTCACCAATAGAAACCAATTGAAATCTGTTTGTCACCAATGACACCAATAAATTTTATATTGCCACCGATAGGTGGCAGCTATTGGTCGCTCATAACACCAATACAGAGAGAAAGCTCTTAATAAAAAACAAACAATTCAGCTGGTGTACATAATTTTATATTGGCACCAATATGTGGCAGCTATTGGTCACTCATTACAGAGAGAAAGCTCTTCAATGGAAAACAAACAATTCTGCTGGTGTACATAATTTTATATTGGCACCAATAGATGGCAGCTATTGGTCACTCATAGCACCAATAGAGAGAGAAAGCTCTTTAATGAAAAACAAACGATTCTGCTGGTGTACATAATTTTATATTGGCACCAATAAGTGGCAGCTATTGGTCACTCATAGCACCAATAGAGAGAGAAAGCTCTTTACTGAAAAACAAACAATTATGCTGGTGTACATAAGGCACCTATATGCTACTCTGTATAGAAGGGGATTGAGGAGGAAGGGCCCTAGGAGAAGGAGGGTAGGAAAAAAATGAAAATATTACGATGGTCATATTTATATGTCTCCATGTAGTGGTGATGATGAAAGTTACATTACAGTTTATCAATTAGGTTAATGCCACCTAGAAATATCAACAGAATTTTTTAAATGTGACGTTGCTGAGAAGGAGCAGGTACAGCTATTTTCCTCGAGACCGAGCAGTTCATCGCAAGTTGAGCCCAGTCTACTTTGGAAACAAGATTTTTGTTCTCTGTATGCCTGGCAATCTAACAAAAAATATCCTCGACTGATTCTAAAGCACCACAGTTGTCACAGTATGGGTCTGTTGTCAACCCAAGGCGCCACATGCAGCTATTGGTGAATGCTGCGTTGCGGCGAAGTCGATGATAAAGTGTCTTGAGGTGATGAAGAAAGCGATATGGAAGTTTTGATTTTAAGTCAGGATCTATGGAGTAGAGAAAGGTCTTGAGGCACAAGATTCTGTATTCGATTCCTTTCTTGGCTGGTGTATTCCTTTTCGTTGCTGATGCATTTGATAGACATGCACTGGCACCAATAGGGTTCAATAGAAGACACTTATTTGTCCCCTACAAAACCAATAGATATATATTAATAGCAACAAGTGGCAGATATTTGTCACTAATAGAACCAGTACGGCCGTATTGACACGGATAGGCTATAATAAAAGACATAGAATAACCCAGAGATTTGGACTTGTATGTTAGCCCAAACCTTTTCAAAAAACAACTAAAAAGGGTATTATAAAACAATGTGCTCACTTTCAGGCTGTGAAGTCAAAATACATACTATACATACTATTTTGTGTATAAATATACATTTTTTTTTGTTTCTGTATCATGGCATGTCATACAATGTTTAGATGAACTTGTCTTAAACTTTTCTGTCCATTTTTTACTTATTTTGGATACAAATATTGTATTCAATATTGTACTAGCAGGTGCGCTATCGTTATAATCTTTTTTTAGTTCTGTACAAAAGAACTTTTTTAGTTCAGTCACTAGCTATTGCGAACTGTGTTGTTGTCTGTCTTTTTTAATCTGCACTAAAATAAAAAATTGTATGCTACAAACAATTTTCTGTATTTGGCTGTTTACTATTTTTGTAAAACCCGTACAGAGGCCTTTCGTCAGGTATTGCCATACCTTTAGCTTCTGTACTTCTCTTGGTGTAATTCAAGAACAATAAAGACTTTGAATCATAATTGCCACCAGAGTCAAATAATTGCGGGGTTCTGCACGGTATTGAAAGGCCACCTATATGTATTTCACTTACAGGGTCAGTAGAGAACTTAATCGAAAAGACAGTTTTTGATTCATTCAATATATGAACAAAATGCTATTCATTTTACGCAAGTATTGCAAATGAGTTCTGCGGAAACCCACAAGATGGCGAAAGGGTTAAGAAAGGAAAAGAAGACAACTACCTGTTTGTAGCACGAAACCACGAGGAAATCCAAGAAACTACAAATGAATTTCTCAGAAAAAAAGTGTTTTAGTTGCCAAAAAATTCGTCCTCGTCCGGGGTTCTACCAACTGGCGGGTTTCCGCAGGACTTATTTGCAATACTTATTTGTCCATGTGCTTCAAGTTGTCGAATTCGTCCGTGTGCTGTCAATTGCTAGCTTTCTGGTTAGCTCAATCGGTAGGGCGCCCCGCCGCGGTGGTCTAGTGGCTATGGTACTCGGCTGCTGACCCGCAGGGCGCGGGTACGAATCCCGGCTGCGGCGGCTGCATTTCCGATGGAGGCGGAAATGTTGTAGGCCCGTGTGCTCAGATTTGGGTGCACGTTAAAGAACCTCAGGTGGTCTAAATTTCCGGAGCCCTCCACTACGGCGTCTCTCATAATCATATAGTGGTTTTGGGACGTTAAACCCCACATATCAATCAAATCAATCGGTAGGGCGAACACCCCGGAAAGACCTTGGTTTCGAGTTCAAACCATGGGCCAGGACGAATTTCTCAGCAACTAAGAAGCTTTTCTTTCCAAGAAATCTGTATAGATTTCCCTGTTGCTTCGTGCTGCAAATGGGTGGTTGTCTTCTTTTCCTTTTTACACATGGGTGTTCCAAAGTATCGTAGCCAAATTTTTTATGTCACCAAAGTAATTTAACATTTTTCAATTTGTACGATTTCATTCTGTATTCAAGATTATGATTATGTATAACATTAGTGGGATAAACTCACAAAAAGAAAGGTTCACGAAAAGAGAGTCACCATAGAGTTAAAAAAAGTATGTCACTGTTGATAATGTTTCAGCTGGAGGACTCGATGTTCTTCAAAAGACAGAAGCCCACTGTTTTCCTTGGAAGTGCAAATAAAATGGGAAATCCGGCTATTATTATAATAAGCGAGGCCAAACTGTACAGTAGAAATTGTCACGCCCTGCTTAAATGCATTCACATCGCCCTGTTTAGCCAGTGGGTGAATACAGTTCTCCAGATAACAAAAGCGAGCGGTACATCTCTTGCTCCTCTGGACATAACTTTTCAAGCACTTGTAGCCTGAACGATAATAACAAGACTTGTCTTCCTCAAGCCTTCAGGAAGACAAGTCCGCTTGTCGGAACGTCAACTCGACACAACCCCTGTTTACGAATTTTTCATCGCAAGCTTTCATGTTCCCCTTTCTATCGTTTTTTGGATAAAAAGACCAGTCATTCATGATATATATGCACAGGATTAGCATCTTTTTATTGTCCCCAAGCTAAGAGCACGGTGAAGACAAATACGAAATGCGCTGTTCATGTTTCTTTTCATCCTCCCTGCACGTAGGCAAGCTCCCTCAAGTGCTTGTGCGGGGAACACTGTTCGCTGCCACAGGTTACTGCACTGCACAGGTCCCTTATTGGGCATCGCTAGCACAAAACAAGAAATTTCTAGCTCAAGATAGTTGTAGCTCATTAAGAAGGCTGGTGGGAACCATAACTAAACCAGCACAGTGTGCTGTAGAATTTTTCCTTGAGTCATTTTTCCAGTTTATATTCTCATGTACTAGCTCTTCTGCAGTTGCGCTCTCCATCATACTCATCGGGGTAGTCTCCTGGGCGACCTTTTATGAGACTTGGCTATTACTTTTCGGATGTAACCTAACACTTTGTATTCTTCCAACTGAGTTCCTCAAAATATTATCTGCTGTTTAACAACCCAAAACCACTAAATGATTATGAAAGATGCCTCAGTGCAGGGCTCCGAAAACTTTGACCTCGTCGGGTTTTTTAATGTGCCCCCAAATCCGAGCTCACGGGCCTACAGCATTATTTTCGCCTACATCGAAAATGCAGTCGCCGTAGCTGGGACTCATCCTGCGACCTGCAGGTCAGCAGCCAAGTACCTTAGCCACTAGACCACCGTAGCGAGGCAAAGGCAAGAAAGAAAAGGATAATGTTACCTCGTAAAGACTATTAGCCATTACATCAGTGCTATACAGGTTGGCGATGCGAGCAGTACATACAAAAATAGAAACTTGAGCAGAACATAATATTTCGGGAGAACTTCGGAATGAATATTGAGCAGACAGGCGGTGACACTAACCTGTTTTCTCTCACTCGGTGCATACAAATATCTAAAATAGAAAACAGGCCCTTGTGTGTGGCTTTTCTAGGCATCATTGGTGCATAGAACATTATTCAGGAAATTCTATGGGAATATATTGAAAGGAATAGGCATAAGCAACTGCTGTGTACAGCTTTTAAGAGAGATATACTATAACAATAGTTTGCATAGGATAGGAACAAATACGTAGCAAAGAAAACATTGATATTAGCTAGGAGCTAACCCCCGTATTCTAGCATGCCCCTTCACTCAACGCTTCACCTTTACTCGAGAAAGCCGATGGGAGCGCCATCTCTAGGACAACTCACTGTATATCAGTGATAATCTGCTTCGATTCTTGAGCAGCGCAGCGCCATTTTCAGCCGAGCAGCGGCGCAGTGCTCAACAATGTCAGGTGAAGGGTGAAAGTCGAGTTGAGGAGCGTTCGTGAATATGGGGGTAAGGCAAGGGTGTCCCTGCTGCTATTCAGGCTGCACATAGTGAGCATGGAAAAAGTGCTATGAGGTAGCAACATTGCTTTTAACCTGTCATACTAGCAAAGCAGTGTGATGATTGAGCACGCTTTCAGGTTTTTTTTTTTTTTTTACGTGGACGATATTGTCTTACTTGCAGACAGTCGAAATGATATGCAGCAGCTGGCTGATGTACGCAGCAGGGTAGGTGAAGCTTTTGTTGGAATAGGATTTAGTGTAACAAAATGTGGATTAATCTTAATGATTAGGCAGTGTCAATACAGGGCCAAGATATACTGAGGGTAAGCAAGTACAAGTACCTCGGAGTATGGGTGAATGAGGGAGATAGATACGTTGAGGTGCACGAAAAAGTTTCGCCGGCAAAGAGAAGCAGGAATGCTGTAATAATAGAGCAAAAAGTGCATTGTGGGGATACAATAGGTACGAGGTACTTCGAGGTTAGTGGAAAGGCGTAATGATTCCAGGGCTTAAATTTGGTAACTTAGTGGTGTGCATGAGGTCACAGGTGCAATCAGGAATGGATGCAAATCAAAGGAATGTGAAACGCCTTGCTTTGGGCGCTTACGGGAAGACAACAAATGAGGCTGTTAAGGGCGACATGGGAGTACAAGTTTTGAGCTGAGGGAAGCTCAGAGCTAAATAAGCTTCTAAGAGAGGTTAAGGAATATGAACGAGAGTAGATGGGTAGCCAAAGTGTTCAGGTATTTGTACAGGATGAGTGTTGACACATAATGGAAAAGAAGAACTAGGAGGCTCAGCAGGATATACGGCTGGCAGTGCTAGCGGTATGACAACAAAGAGTGTTAAACAAAAAGTCAGAGAGGGGCAGAGAAGACTATTCGTTCTGAGTTCCTACCTAATGGCAGAAAGTAAAATCAGAAAGAAGGCATTTTATGATAATTAAAGGGGAAGCACTTTATCGCTTGAAGTGAGATTGGGTCGCTTTAGAAGTTCTGAAGCGAGATTTAGTAAAGAACAATGCACATGCTGTGGGCAAGAAAAGCAAACAATGGAGCACTTTCTGATTGAATGTGAATATATGCAACAAGGTGTATGCTTCTGCCCGAGCCTACAAGAAACCTTGGGTTTTAGGAATGGCAAGGGAAAGTTGAACACACCCACAATAGAAATATGCAAAAGACAGTTCAGGTATTGGTGGCAGAAAACAAGAAAGAACAAGAATAAATAGTGGGGGAAATACGGGGTTATTGTTGTAAACGGCAGAGAACTGGGCTATGAATTAGCGAGGTTTTTTTTTCTGTAGTAAGATAGATTTATTTCAAATAGATAATGAAGGAATTATGCCAGCTTAAAAAAAGGTTTTTGCTTCATTTGTCGAGTCTGGTGGCACACTCGCCACTGCCTCGTAATAAAAGGGATGCTCATAGCATCCATCCAACTAGTCCGGCCGTACAGAGGCCATTAAGAAAGGAGCGAGCACACACCTTCTGATACCCCTGTCACACGGGCACCACAGAACTTCGTTTTAGTACTTCGTCTTTTCATGTCACATTGCCTCCATTTCACCGTGGAAGTTAAATGGAGCTTTTGGGTAAGAGAGTTCGATAATGGCCATTTAGGTTCTATGGAATACTCTCGTTCCCACATAGCTACTGCTACGAAGAGAACTGTACTAAGGAAATCAACTTAGTAATTTGAATTATAAAGTTTAACTGAATACATTTGTTCAGTGTAGCATTATAAACAGTGTAGTGCAAGTTTCTATTCTATTTTTGAGGACCTCAATGCCTGAACCCTCGACACCCAACACTTCACTCAACTACCAAAAGCAAGTGCTTCACTGCACTGTTTGCTCATACACATACGATATGCACACATGCATGAGCACACTCTACTTTCTCGCTTCCACTTTACTAGAATGCATGCATAAAAAAGGAGACACACGTACATTGCCTTAAAGGTGACTGCATATGTGAAAGATGAAAGTTTTGACAAGCGCAGCTGTACAGTATCTCCCAGTGCAATCGAAAGCTTGCACGAAGCCATGTAGCATAGCCACAACTCCATTCTACTAAACCTCCAGTAGGGGGTTGAATGTCGAATGGAGGCAAAGTTTGGTGGTTGCCGTGTGACAGGAATATGAAACGCATACTGACACCATTATTTCAAAAGCGTGTTTACTCTGTCAAAGTAATCTACTGTGATCAGAGACGATTCTCAATTGTGAAGCTCAGCAAATGCTGATAAGATGTTTTAGTTTGCTATTAACATCAACTTTCTTAATCTTCCGGCGTAGAAATGCTGGTGATTTCACGCCACAATCTGGCTAGTTGTGATTACTGCAGTTACTAGAACTTCCATAATCACCACTGTTCACCTCCAAAGTGGCCGTTTGTGGGTCAACGGAGCAGAGCGGCTGTAGAACGATATCTTGCATGGGACGAGAAGCTCATGCCTCGTTGTGAGGTCAGGGTACAGGAGGAGCCGAAACTAGCTCTCAAAGATGTACTGTAATTACTTTTTCGTAGTGCACTCGCACTTATAAGTACGTTTTGGGGGCTGTTGGGGGCTTGGCTTTTCATTCGCAGAAAGAAAACGACAAATGCATATATTCGTAGCCGCGGCGTCACGGCGCACAGTAGACAGAAGGTAGCAAACGCGGGCGGACACGATCACTTTATCTTTGTATTTCTCATAAAGACACAAGAATGCAAGTTTCCAAGTGCGCATGCGCTTCGTGCGATGAAGCTTGTGATACCTTCCCTTGCAGCCCTATCGACCGATACCTGCTAAACTGGCCTGGTAAATGCGAGTGTCAGCGCACGGTGCACGATAAAACGCATACCTCAGTGTAACAGCGCACGACAGCAACATAACCGGTCTGAAAGGCGAATAACGATACAACATCGTTTGTTGTGTACGTCGACCTTTGCCTGTCAATCCAGAAATATTTTGTGCGCGGATACACTGAAAAAAGAACCCATAGCGATTATCGCAAGTAGCCGTCTTATTGCACTAAAACACAGGCGTTCAGCAAGGGAAGCTAAATTACGGTAACATATCGACGTTGTGTCTAATGAACGGCGAAAAGTCCAACGCAGTGCACGAACGCGAATACCAGTGCCCGCTCGTAGACCTCATCCTTCAATGTTGACAGCAAACAGTTCTAGCCTCTGCACTAGAAATTTCCACACAGTTCAACTCACGTTGCTCAAAAAGGCACAATTGAAGATACACGCTCAAAATGACTTCACCTCCACAACGGCACTTGACTACAGTGTACTGTCACAAAACACGTGCTGTAACTTGACTTCCACCTTCTGTACCTGGATGGATAGATGGATGAATGGATATGGCTGTACTCTTTAGATCGGGCGGTGGCTAGCGCCACCAAGCCGTAATACTTAATAAACCAACAACTAGATTTATTTTATTTTTTTTCTTTAAAAAGTGAGTTTGAGGATTCGTACTTTGCAGTGAAGGGTTTAATTTTCTCTCGGGCCTTCACTTTAGCCACCAATCAGATAACCTTCTTCTAGTTAAGTCTACCCGCTTAAAGTCTATTTTGCCCTCCCTGTCCCTAAACCAAACTGCTTTGAAGAACTCTGCGCCATCATCCTGAACTATAGGCCGAAGCCCTTTACAGAACATTATCAAGTGTTCGGCAGTTTCTTTTTCCTCTCCACGCGCACTGCATACCGTGTCTACCCCTTCGTATTTGGCCCGATATGCCTTGGTTCGCAGTACTCCCGTCCTGGCCTCAAACAGTAGAGAACTACCCCGAGTATTATCATAGATCCTTTCCTTGGCAATTTCCAGCTTAAAGGTTCCATAGGTCTCTAGTGCGGACTTCTTAATCATGCCCATTCTCCACATGTCAGTCTCCGTTTCCTTCACTTTCTTCTTAACCGATAGTTCTTTTTGGTTTGGCCACCTGCTGTTTTCTAAGTATTTACCAGTCAATTTCCTGGTTTTATTCCTCCAATTTGTATCGACATTCTTCATGTACAAGTAGCTGAAAACCTTCCTAGCCCAATGCTCCTCCCCCATTTCTCTCAACCGCTTCTCAAATTTTATCTTGCTGCTAGCTTCCCTGCCCTCAAATGATGTCCATCCCATATCACCTTGTACTCCCTGATTTGGTGTATTCCCGTGAGCTCCTAAAGCAAGCCTACCTATTCCACGTTGCTTAATTTCTAATCTTGCTTGAACTTCTGATCTCATGCACAAGACCGCATTGCCGAACGTCAGCCCAGGAACCATGACCCCTTTCCATATTCCTCTCACAACATCATACCTATTGTAATTCCACAGTGTCCTGTTTTTTATTACTGCTGCATTCCTGTTACCTTTAGTCGTCACGTATATTTCGTGTTCCCTTAGGTACTCGGCCCCATCGCTTATCCATACGCCCAGATATTTGTATTTATCTGATATATCTAGTGACCTCCTGTATTCTAAGCTCACTACCTTCGTTGTCATTAAAAATCATGACTGCTGATTTTTCTTTACTGAATCTGAAATCTAACCTATCTCCCTCATTACCGCAGATGTCCACCAATCTCTGCAAATCTTCCTTGTTGTCGGCCATTAGCACTATATCAACTGCGTACATCAATGCTGGTAGTGCCTCTTGAATGAGTTTTCCTTGTTTGACGAAAGAAAGGTTGAAGCCCAGTCCACTTCTGTCTAATTTCGCCTCTAATCTTTGTAGGTACATCATGAATAATAAGGGTGACAGGGGACACCCCTGCCTAAGCCCCCGTTTGATCTCTGCAGGCTTGTATACCAGTTTTTCCCACTTTATAACTACCTTGTTACCTTTATAGATATCCTTTAAAAGATTAGTGACTACATGTTCTACGCCTAGTGTGTCCAGTATTCCCCACAATTCCTCTTGAACCACGCTATCGTACGCTCCCATGATATCCAAAAATGCTAGCCACAGGAGTCTGTGTTCCTTTTCTGATATTTTGATGCACTGCGTCAGTGTGAACAGATTGTCTTCCAACCTCCTGTGTTTCCGAAACCCATTCTGCAGTTCCCCCAGCACCCCCTCATCCTCTATCCATGCCTGCAGTTTTCCATTATAATCTGCATCGCCAGCCTGTAGACCACTTATGTCACTGTTATAGGACGGTAGGTGTTTATATCAGCTTTGTCCCCCTTCCATTTATATATCATGCTCATCCTGCTAAGTTTCCCTCCATCGGGAACTTTACCATCGATTATCAATTCGCTCACTGCCTCTTTCAAAGCAGGGGCGGCGCCAGGGGGGGGGGGAAGGGTGGGCTGGAGCCCCCCAAAAATCCTCGCCTGCCCCCCCTATGCCCACCCAAGTGCCCGGAAGCATATATTGAAAACCTAGTAGGAGCAGAGCTAGCTTGCCCCCCCCCCCCCCCCGGAGGAACTCACTTTTCGTGGTTGCCCCCCCAGTAAAAACATCCTGGCGCCGCCCCTGTTTCAAAGCCTGCTTAGACTTCGGACCTAATGTCTTTATCAGCATAATTGGAATGCCATCTGAGCCTGTTGATGTACTACTAGGAACCCTTTTCTCAGTCATTTCCCACTCTCGTTGTGAAAATGGAGCCATTGCGCCACTTGATTCATCCTTGTCAGCTCAGCTGGGGTAACTCGAGCGCCCCCTAGGCAGCGAAGTTCGGAATCCGAGCCGGCGCAGGCAGCTCCGTAGACCGCCACCAGCTGGGCAGGTCAGGAGTACAGCAGGTCGTGAACTTGACTAAAGCCCAAACTCCATAAGCGCGAAAATGCACGCGACAGCGACGAGCGACGCTATGAGCGACGAAACAGGGCGTTCGCGTTTTCGCGCGATCGCTCGGTTCTCCAGATTTGGAAACCGTCGCTCATCGCCCGGAAGTGCTGGGCTCAAGCAGCCAATAGCGAAAAACCGGAAAAGACGAAGACTACATAGGTGCACGTGACCCTGCCCGAGTCCCGTTTGCGCAACAAGAAATAACGCAATGTTTATTACGCATGCGCATATAAAAAATGCTGCAAGGCAATAATAAACACTTTCCGTTTCATTACACAACAATATATCTTATTTTTAAATTGAAAACCGCTCGCTACGCGGTTTTCTTGGTGCGAGTGGACGGCCTCATGTCAGCAACAGTGGAATTCGCTCGCCGAAGCCGTCGCGTGAATGAGGTTTGCCTGCGCTAGTGACTGATCGCGCGACGCCGATCTACGTCGCGTCGCTCGTCGCTGTCGCGTGCATTTTCGCGCTTATGGAGTTTGGGCTTAACCCGTCTCGCTTCAGTCGCTTCAGCCAGCGCCTCCTCTACTTTTTCTGTGCCTGTTGTGTCGCACCCGTTCTAATTTCTCTACGATTGGCGCTCTATTTTTTCGACTAACCACGTGGTAGCGTCAGGTTATTATCCTCTCGCGTGGTCTCTCTTTGCTTGACTGCTATGGGTGGATGGGGCGCAGCCACTGGCTTTTTCCAATTTTATGCGATTACTTCCCTTCGTATTCGGTAAATTCGCATTTGTGCGTTTGTTTTAGTAACGTGTTACGAAAAACGCGTCGTAAGGTGCCTTATTCTTTGTTTGCAAGCGCTCAAAGGAGTGCTCTGTCGAATATCGATGTCGATTGAAATATAAGTGGAATTCACAGGTTGAAGCAAAGAAACAAGACATAGCAATTTTATATGCACAAAAGACAAAAATAAAAAGAAATGAGTCAAAAAAAAAGTTAAGAAACAGCCGGTTGAACTGAAACCACTTGTCAGTCCAACGTTGAAGGTGCGCGCGTGTCGTGCAAGCTTTTTAAAGCTTCGAAAACTTACGTCACAACGGCTTCCTTTAATAAAGCATGGCCACAGATTTTTCATCGGCGAAGTCGGAGCATAGTTTGTGAACAGTGGCTTCATGAACTTTCTGCAGACAAGTTCTATTATTTTTCGCCTTTGCATTTGGTCACAACGGTCACACAGCAGTACTGGCAGGCCAACAATTACATCCGCACTCTTCACGACGCACGTCTGTAGAGGCTTAAAGAGAGCTGCGCTGTGCAGAAGCGTTACGTTCACAAATCTTTTCAGGGTATGCAGCACACGCACGAGCTCCACAGTGGGGTAGCACAAGCCACCTCTGCCCTGGTGGGATATCAAGCCGTCCGTAACACTGCTCTCTTTTGCCTTCAAGACTAACGACACGCAGCGTTCGCAGTCAGTATTTTCACTCACGACGCGAGAATATGTATCCTGCGATGAGAGAAACTAGTGCTAAATCTGGCGTGGGCATAAACGGCTTCGTCGAAGTGCAGAGTTCCTGCAGTAGGTGCTGCACCGAGTTCACTGCTGCGACCGCGCTTGTTGTTGTTGTGCTGCTTGACTCGCCGCTCCTAATAATGCTCCCCGAGGAATCGAAGGAAGCTGAGCTCTGCACATTTCTTGTGTGGGAAGCCGCAACGATGCCCGTCTTCAGTATCTTCTCAAGGCCCGAAAGAGCACTTCTGACATCAAGCATATTATTGCAGTCACCGCTGCGTCGAAGCGTCCCAAACAAGGATTCGATGGGGTCGCTTGAAAACTTTCTAGTCAGCACAAATGTGAACCCTCTATCTAACGTAAATCTGATACACTGGACTTCGGCGACTGTGGTGAATACCAGTGCATGGTGAGTTTCTTTCATTAGAAAGTTCATTGGTGCGCTTGCCATCTTGAGCTCTTCAATGTATTCTAAAAAACAAGTTCCAGCCAATGAAGTCTGGAGTCCTCCAGATCATCAAACTGCCTGGTGTCCGGATTGTTCTAGATAATATGCTGCGGGAAGTTGCTGACATCCATGAGAGTAAACCATGTGCTCACATTATTAATGAACTCAACAGTTGGGCCAACGCTGGCGAACTTTACGTCGCACGTGATCCCGACATGATCTTTCATGAAGGAAAAAGCCGCTGTCATGACTGGTGCAAACAAGTGGACGGCAGGCTTGTCTCCCATTTTTTCTATATTAGACAGACAGACGTGTTTCCTCGTGAGAAAATGGACCAACTTGATAATCGAGCCCCGCTGCATCTTGTAAAGGTCCTTTATGTAGGTTGAAGAAATTTCGCCATTTATTCCAAATTCTCATGCCAGAAATTGCGATTGGATGTTTTTGAGGATGTGACTCTGATCGAACGCCAGAAACAAACTGCGCCTTGGGTCGGTGGGATGACGCACTTGGGTTTTAAATTGCCCACCTGATATTTTCATTGCAGCGACGTTTATTTTGAGGTTGTCTGTCACAAATGGAAGTATCTCGAATCCCATTTCCTCAGTTTTCTTGATGACGTGCTTGGTCGTTTCCGCAAGTAGTTCGCCAG